GAATTTTAGGACCTTATTATGAAAACTAGCAAAAGCTTATGTCATTTTCCTCAGTTCATGCATTTCATGGTCAACTTCCTGTTTGATGCATGCCCCGCCCACCTACATGATGTCACACCAATGAGGGCATCCCATTGTGGTCTTACACCTAGGACTCAGCAAAAAAAGTTTTTATTTTCACTCATTAGGTGAGAAAATAAATTCTGTATAGTTATACTGTCCCATTTGACCTTATGTCCCAATCACCCTTAATTCACCCTAAATGACACTTATTTTGATATATAATGCAAAGACATTTTTGATTGTGGCAAAAGTGTCCAAATACGTTTGGGGTCACTTTATATAAGGCTTTGAGGATCTCCAGAAGCAGAAATAAAGGCAGGTGAAGCATTAAAGCAGTAAAGGTGCAAAGAGCTCTTGCAATGCTGTGCTAGGAATCACGCAGCAGCAACATTGAAAAGGAGCTGGATATATTATAGTAGAATGTTTAGAGCTGTTCTAGCAGTGTAGAATATAAATATATTGCTATTAATTGTTCCTTATTGTTTATAAAGTGAAAAATGCCAGTAGCCTACACTAAATTTGACCTTAAAGGGATAGTTCACCCAAAAATGAAAATTTGATGTTTATCTGCTTACCCCCAGGGCATCCAAGATGTAGGTGACTTTGTTTCTTCAGTAGAACCGCGTACACGGCATCTGGTGTGTGAGGTGTGTAAGCGCTCTGGCGTAGTTTACGTTAATGGGTGTGTTGATATCCAGCCGAAGAGCAATCAACCATAACTTCAGGCGAGAGAATGTAATCTTTTAGTTTGAAGTCGGGTTGAACAATCCGGATAAGCGCAAGTAAGTACCCAGTGTTGGGGAAAGTTACTTTTAAAAGTAATGCATTACAATTCTTGGGTGAACTATCCCTTTAAGAGTCCAAATTATTGAAATACATTTTGATTTATTCATTTGCAGACAAGTTTTAATGATAATGTGGATGAATAAGTTTCAAAATAGGGCACACATGAATTACCTACTAAATTGCCTTTGACTACTGACAGCAACTGTTGGAATTTGTTCTGGCTGGTGCCACCAAACTCTTTATACTGTCCTACCTCTAAAACAACCCTCAAAGAAAATCACCAAGATTATTAAGTTTCATTAGTGCAAAAAAAATAAAATAAAAAAAATGCAAGCACATGTGGGTGTTCAGACTTTTAACTGTCATTTCTAATTCTTGCTTTTCTATATACTGTCCTACCTCTAACACAACCCTCAAAGAAAATCACCAAGATTATTAAGTTTCATTAGTGCAAAAAAAATAAAATAAAAAAAATGCAAGCACATGTGGGTGTTCAGACTTTTAACTGTCATTTCTAATTCTTGCTTTTCTATTCAATGCAGTCAATGCAGTTTAAGAAGCTAATGTTAAATGACTGGCTTTATGTTTAAGGAGATGCAAGGTTTCTCTCTCGCTCTCTATTTTTTATTTTTAAGGAATAATTTACAATGGGCCATTGCTTTTGAAAAGTAATGCAAAATCCAAGGTAATTATGCAGGGAGAGAATTCTATGGATATTTTAAAAATAATAATTTCTGAAGAAAGCAAATGAACACCCCATAATTAGTCATCTGCTTGTTCAGCTTGATCAATGTCTTTGTGTTTTTGGCTCTTTTACTGTGGTATAACAGGAGGACTGTAAGGATCTTTGAAATAAGTGAAAAACATTGGTGAAATGAGATGAAACTGTAATGCAGTGTGGACCTGGACTGACTTGATGTGAGTCATGCAGCACAGATTTCAGTTCTGCCAGTGTATTCAGACATCTGATCTGTCCATCATCTGTGATCCTCAGTATCAATTAGTCAAGTTTTTTAGTGTAGATTTATGACTAATATAGTGAGCAGCATGCCATTACAACACATCTAATGTTTTTGTTAAATGAAAGATGTTTATTTCACAAAATAATTGAAACTGTGGAGGGACAGAAATATCTCAGCTTTCAAAACATCTTTATTGGTCTTCTATACACATATCATGATAGCTTACATAATATAAAAACAAAAAGAACATGAAATGTCTTAATGAGTTTAGAAATTGAAAAAAGGCAGATTTTTCGAAGGAATCTTATTCAAAAAAAGAAAGAAAGATTAATAACATTGTTTTTGAAGCTCTAGGGTAGTGCTTCAGTATTCTGTAAAGTTGCTTTGACACAATCTGTATTGTTAAAAGCGCTATATAAATAAAGGTAAAAGAAAAAATAAATTAATTTAGCCCATCAGTGCGTCTAATGAAAATAACTACCTTGATAACATAATCTTTGCACATTTTGTTTATTCAATTTTAGTTTTTTTTTTAAATATATTTAAACATTTTGTTTTAATATTATGCATTTTTATGTATCATGTGTAACAACAAAATCACCACTCATCACTGCTCACAAAAACTGAACACTTCAGTCACCTCTGGAGACTTTTCCCACAAACCAAACAGTGAAATACTTGGCTGTGTGTGATGGTGCATAGAGATCGTGACCTTTCTGAATGCTGCTGATGAAAGTGTCCTCCAGGAGTTTCTCTTCAGTCCGGCAGCTAGCTCACAGCTTTCTGCTCTGTGTCCAGCAAGAGTAACTCTCATTAAACCTGTGAAAAGTCAGTCTTCGTGTATCTCTTGGCCTAATCATGACGCTTCAGCCGGGGATCTTTGTTAAGAGGGGGTTGTGTTTCTGCTTTTCTTGCCTTAGCAAATTCTTTGAGAACCTGACATTTTGTACTTCTGGAGATTCCAGATTGATGGGAAGATTCCAGGAGTTCTGGGAAATTGTGGCACTGGTGCTTTTACAATCAAGTCTTCGCAGATCTTTTGCTGTTAATTTGCATGTTTTCTTTTTTTTTTTGCGACGCTGCCTACTATTGGCAAATTGTCTAATGGTCATGCTTTACCACATTTTTCTGATAGACGTTTTGTAATTTTGGACTTTTCTGTTTTCTTTGCCCATTTTCACCTCCCTGTTGAAAAAACCAGCATATGCTGGTTAGGTATGTTTTGACGCTGGGATGCTGGTTTAAGCTGGTCCTTTGCTGGTTTAAGCTGGTCCTTTGCTGGTTTA